CATCCATCCTTCCACCCCTTCAAACATCCATCCATCCATCTATCCATCCATCCATCCACCCCCCTTCCATCCACCCATCCATTCATCTATCCATCCATCCATCCATCCATCCATCCATCCATCCATCCATCTACCCATTCACCCATCCTTCCACCCATCCATCTATGTCTATCGCTCCTCCACTCATCCACCCACCCATCCATCCATCCACCCAACCATCCATCTACCCATCCATCCTCCACCCCTACCACCCACCCATTGTTCCACCCATCCATCTATGTCTATCATTCCTCCACCCATCCACCCACCCATCCATCCATCTACCCATTCATCCTCCACCCCTTCTTCCATCCATCCATCCATCCATCCATCCATCCACCCACCCATCCATCTACCCATCCATCCATCCTTCCACCCATTTATCTACCCACCCTTCCATCCATCCCTCCATCCATCCATCCATCCATCCATCCATCCATCCCTCTACCCCTTCACTAATCATCCATCATCTACATCTGTCCCTCCACCCTTCCATCTATCATCCCTCCGCCCATCCACTTACCCACCCTTCCACCCATCCATCCATCCACCCGTCTGTCTCCACCCACCCATCATTCACCATCTACCTCTGTCCATCCACCAAATCTTCACTGAGCGTATCCCAGGTGCTAGGATGGGGGATAAGCCCAAGGGGGAGTGTTATTTTTGGGGGGGGGCACAGTCTAGGGGCAAAGACCAGAAAAGCACACTGTTTCAAGGGCAGTAAAGTTTAATCAGGCCATTCAAGGGTGGGGGTAGCATCACAGATGTTCTGGAAGAAGACTGGACCTCACCCATCAACTGCACCCCAACTTAAGCCACCATACACCTCAGATCCCAGAGTCTAACACTGCAGAAGGCCATGGGACCAAACAGTATCTGATTCTGGAGGCCAGAGACCTGGGTGCTGCCACTGTCCAGTGTGGGTGGGGAGGGATTTCCAACTGGGCTGGCACTGCTCCCTTGTTGCTCCCCAGTTAGTGAACACAGAATGAGAATTTGGAACACACGAGGAGCTTTACTGCACTAGAAGGCGAAGGCTGCAAGCAGGGGTTGGGGGGGCGGTGCAGGGCCTGAGAAAGAGGTGCAGGAGTCACTGTCTCTTGATCTGGAGGTTCCCCAGCAGGTGTTCTCTCTGCCCAGCCTGGGCCTTCCTTGGGAAGCCTCGGCCTCTGTGGGGGTGGCCCCTTGGGTCAATCACCAGTGACAGTCCCTTTCCTGCCCCTGCCATGAGAGGCAGAGTGGGGGTCAGAGAGTGGGAGGGGCGCGAGGTCAAGGGGGTTGAGGAGCAGAGAGGTGGCGGTTGTGGTGGGTGATGGAGGGGCGCGGGCAGGCCAAGCAGGTCATGGCAGCGGCTCCATGGCAGGGCCGGGCTGGGCATCAGGCCGGACTCGCCCCCTCGAGCGTGGAGGTTGCTGCCAGAGGTGCCCGTAGTCTCAGGAGCGCTGAAACACAGGCGTGGGTGGGAGCATGAGGCTGCGGTCTGGGGAGGGGCTACCTGCCCCGCCCTCCGTGCCTCCAGTCTGTCTCCAAAGGCCACCCTCGCCCTACCTACACTCCCCCCTCCCCCAGGGGCAGCCTTCCTGTTCCAGCCATCGAAACCCTGTGTCTGCTTCCACGTTGGAAGCTTGCTTTCCCGACGCTGGGCCCCGGGGCCCCGGGCCTTTGCATGACTCAGGTGGAGGGGGTTCTGCCCATCGCCTGCTCGCCTGCTCGCCTGGCAGCCCCAGAGCTAGACCTGGCGTTCCCGTGGTTCCTGGGGTCCTGGGCCCCCAGAAGCAGGCACAGCCAAGAGTGAGCCCCGGGCAGACCCCTCAGGCCCCTCCCCAGGCAGATCCGCTCCTGCCTGACAGAGCCAGCCCCCACAGGGCAGCAGCTCCAGGCCTCCTTCCTCCCACAAACCGGCTGGCCTCTGGCTTGGCCCAGACGCCATTTGTCAAAGTCCTTGCAAGCACGTGGCGCCCAGAAACCAGGGCAGGCGGCTTGGCCAGGACCACCCCAGCCAGGATGTCTGCGGGAATATCCCATTTAGCGTAGCTCAGCGAAAATTGCTCCCACCTCCCGGCCAATCTACCTCTGATGATGCAGCCTCAGCTTTCCTGAGCTTCTGGCCGCCACCCTTACCGCTGGCTCACAGTGGACGAGCCTGTGGTCAGACCGGCGACGGCACGGCGCCCCTCACGCGTCTGCGGGCAGGCGCTCTTCCTGCCCTGGCGGGCCGCCGGCCCAGCACGTGCCTCCCCCTTGGAGCTTGCCCGCGGGCCTCACGGCCCAGGCTGTGCCCCCGGGTGGCACCCTCGTCCGTCACCCACTGAGGGGCTCGGGCCTGGGTGGACTCCTTTCTAAGCCAGCCGGAGGGGGAGCCGCCCTGCAGAGTTGCTGATGCAGACGGATTTGCCAGGGACGCACCCGGCAGATGCCAAGTGCTCAGGAAGCAGAGCTCCTGATGGTCAGGCGGCGACCCCTCGGCCTCAGGTCCTCGCACATGATGGGGGAGCGCCGTGCCCCTGCGGGAGGGGTGCTGGCAGTGTGGAGGGCTAACCTGGTGGCTGTCCCTCTCCTCCCCAGGGCGCAACAATGCTCATAGTGGCTGGCCTGTGCCCCCAGGGGCCCTCTGGACCCCCACCACCCCTGCTGCCCAAGCCAGGGAAGGACAACGTGCGTCTGCAGAAACTTCTGAGGAAGGCCGCCCGGAAGAAGATGACAGGGCCCCCTGTGCCACTGGGGGCTTTCCGCACTTCCTTGTCCCCCGTGAGCGAGGCCAGCCAGGACCAGGAGCCCACGGCCCCGTGCCCGGCGGAGGCCCCGCGTCCCGCGGAGACCCCGCGCCCCGCAGAGGCCCCGTGTCCCTCGGAGGCCCTACGCCCCACGGAGGTCCCGTGTCCCTCGGAGGCCCCAGACCCCACAGAGGCCCCGTGTCCCTCGGAGGCCCCGTGCCCTGTGGCCGCCCTGCCCCGCTCCCCCTGCAGCTCCATCATCCACCATGTGGCGTCACCCCTGCAGAAGTCCATATTCCCCTTCAGCTTCACCCAGAGCAGGAGCCTGGCCGCTCACTTCAAGGCCACAGGGCCTCGGCTCACGACCCCGGCCCCAGACCCTGCCCGGTCCCCCGGTGGCTTCACACAGGTCTCAGCCCCCACAGCAGGGGTCACCCACGTCAGCCAGGTGCACATCCGGCTAGTGCCATCCCCACAGGCCAGGGCCCTTGAGCCCCGCCAGATGGCCCCAGATGGGGGACCTGGGGGGCAGGACCGAGACACAGCCCCGTGCCCTCCTGGGGCCCAGCCCCTGGTCCCCATGGCCCACATCCACTCGCTGCCCACTGAGGCCCCGGCTGCCAGTCCCTGGCCTGAGGCACCCCCTGTGCCCAGGCCACTCCCAGGCTCTGAGGTCTCGGTGCCCAGAGAGGCCAGCACTCAGGTTGTGGTGCCCATCGCCCCTGCCTACCGCTCACCGGCACCCTCGCCTCACAGGCCAGCCTCTGAGGGCCCTGAAGCTGAGCACCTGGAGGAGCCCCTTGTGTCTGGCCCTGCCACTGAGGCTGAGCTGGTCTCCAGACCCTGTGGAGCCTCATCCCCTGCCCCACTCTCAGGCCCGCACCCATGTCCTGTCCCCAGAGTTGCACCCAAGCCCCAGCTCAGTGGCTGGACGCGCCTCAAGAAGCAGCTGATGGAGGAGGCAGAAGCGTCCCCATTCCCGGGGCCAGAGCAGAGCCCAGAGTGTGGGGAGCAGGAGGTGACATCCCCCGTGGACCCAGTGTCCCGGCCCCCAGCCTCCAGGGCCTCCAGGATGTGGAACGCGGTGCTGTATCGCGTGTCGGTGGCCAAGTCCCAAAGCGGCCGGGTCGGGCCCAGGGACGGGGCTTGTACCCTGGCTGACCTGGGCCGTTTGCCCTTCCTGTGCAGGCCACGATTCAACGCTCGGAAGCTGCAGGAGGCAGCCACCCGGCCCCCTCCCAGAGTCCACTCCTCCATCCTGGACCTGAACCCCAAGCCCAAGAACTTTAACCGGACGGCGGCCGGCTGGAGGCTCCAGTGAATGGCCCGGGCAGCACCAGGGCCCAGGACCATGGTGTGGACAGAAGAGGGACAGGGGGTCCATCTGGGAGGCCACGGCCGCTGAAGAGGACACCAGGGCCAGACGGATGCTGGGCAGCCAGGAGGGGGCATGTCGGGTGGGCGGCAGCATGAAGAACTGCGGTGGATCAGGGAAGAGGCCGGGGGCAGGTGGGGCGGGGGAGGAGGCCAGATTCCAGAAGAGGGGCCTGCATTGGGGTAGAATGTGGGGGTCGACGGGGGAAAGGATTGCGTGAGAAGGGAAGCACACACCACAGCTATGGAGGGGGGTAGATGAGTCCACCTCGCACAGGCCGGCCCTCGGCTTGGGACCCGGGGCAAAGAGGTGCAGGGGTACACCCGGGGCTCCTGAGGGGCTGCAGGCAGGCAGGGAGGGCCTCTGAGCATGACATGAACTCTGAGGCTCGACAGGGTGGGGAGGATGCGGGGGCTAGGCTCTGCGGTGCCCCCCCGGCCCCCGCCCACCATGAAAGACGGGACAGATTTATGTTTGCTGTGCAGAGTGGAACCGGTCAGGGTGATTCAGTTGTCGGTCAGCACCCATAGCTGCATCAGTGGTTTGACTGACATTTTGGGGAGCCGGACCCCATGCCCTGTCCCTTTTGCTGCCCACCTCAGTTTCTCTCACCTAGGGGGCAAAGCATGATGGGGGCTCGCTGCTAGGAGATAGGGGGAGGGTCTCACCATCAGTCAGGACCCAGCTTCAATGGCTAGGTGAGGAGGTTGTCCTCAGTCCTGGGGCAGGAGAGGAGCCCAATGGAGGGATTGAGGCAGTGAAGGGGACCCCAGGCCTCACGCAGCTTTGGGGCCCCCAGTCTGCAGTCAGCTGGGGTCTGACTCAGGGTGTGGGCCAGGGCTCTGATGGGGTCAGCAGCGATGGGATCAGCAGCGATGGGAGAGGGACACAGCGGTGCCTGGGAGCAGGACACAGGAGGGGAAGAAGAGGCCAGTAGGCAGCCAGCTGCATCACCCAAGGCGTAATGGGTGCTGGAAATGGATCCCGGGACCCAGGCCACTAATAAAGTGTGTCTAACTGTGACAGCGGACCATGTTTCTTCACTCGGCAGGGTGGTGGAGACTGGAGCAGACCCCTGATGGGAGAGTGAGACCAAGGCTCTGGCCCCTCGAAGACACAGACCCAAGTTCCCAGGACCCCTTCCCGTCCACTTCCTCTGATGCCAGTCCTGCAGTGGCCAGGATGAGCTCACCCGCCTCCCAGAAGGAGGTTTGAGCTTCCCTGTACAGTAGAGCTGTATAAAGCTGAAGCCAGCCATGGGAGAAAAGCAGTCGCGTGCAGTGTAAGACGGGGCTTGTTCAGGGGAGTCTGTAGGGCAGGGAGGCCGAGCCAAGCCTAGGTTCCGGCCAGCTCCGAGGCTGCCCTGGCAGCCTGTAACAAGCAGGCCCTGTCCACGCCACCACGTTCCCACCGCACAACGCCTCATGCTCGGGCCGCTGCCTTGGACTCACCAGGAAGGGCCGCCTAGGGCACCGAGCCCTCGTCCACGAGCACCTTCTCATACTTCCCATGTCCGGTGGCCACGAACTTGTACTTCTTTCCAGATGGGGTGCTCTGCTGGGGAAGAGACCAAGAGCAAAGGTGAGAGCAGGCAATGCTGCCTCTGAGGAGCCCTCCCAGATGCCCTGAGGACGGCCTCTCTTCACTCTCAACTGCTGGACCTGCCCTCCCTACATCAACCACATATACACCCTACCTTAATTGTCGATGATGTCTTGGAGCCTCCTTTCTGCTCCCAGAGGCTTTTCTTGCTCATGTCTCCAGCTACAATATCCTGGGGGCAGAGGAAGGTGTAGACCCTTGACTTTGGAGAATTCGAAGTGCTGGCCCTCTCTCTCTTGCCTGGCCTTTCCTGACTGGGGCCTAGGCCTGCCCACCTGCTTCCTTGTGTGAGAGCCCAGGGGAGGAGGTAGGAAAGGGAAGGTGGCACCATCTACCTGCCCTGGGCCAACCAGTTGCCCCATATGACCTTCCACTCTGGGGGCCAGCCTGGTGAATGCCGCCCCCCAAATGTCCCAGTGCTCTGTCTACCCACATTTCAGCCCAGACGGTCTCATACTTGCCTTATCAAGGGAACCCCGACTCTCCCTGGGATGAGTCCTACCTTGCAGGAGGGGGCCTTGGCAGTGGACTGAGCCTGCACCTCTCCTGTCTCCCACCGGCTCTTGGTGCTTGCCACGGCCATGCTGGGCAGCTCAATGGAGGGCTGGCGGGTTAGCTTGGAGGTCCGGCCAGCAGTCTGCAGAGGAGAAAGAGACCACTTTAGTGAACAGCCACATGGGACATGTTAGAGAGGCCAGCGTGAGACCCTCCAACACATAGACGATTTCCTCTATATCTTTGTATTTCCACAGGAATGCTTTCCCAGTGAAGGTCTACAGTAGGGCACTCTGAAAAAATGCACGTTCCTCCATTCGGTGTACTTGTGAAACATTCTCGTAATCCGAAAAGCACAGGTGACATGGTGGGGTTAGAGAAAGAGATGGTGCCGTCATGCTGCTCATGGCAGAGGGCTGGAGGAGCATGGGTAGAATGGAGGGGTGTTGGTTGGAGAGGGCGGTATTAGGATGGAGGGGTTTTGGTTGCATGGAGGAACGTAGGTTGGAATAAGAGGTGGTTGGATGGAGGGGTGATTGTTGAATATAAGAATATAGGTCAGGGTGCCTGGGTGGCTCAGTGAGTTAAGCGTCTGCCTTCGGCTCAGGTCATGGTCTCAGAATCCTGAGATTGAGTCCTGCATCGGGCTCCCTGCTCAGCGGGGAGTCTGTTTCTCCTTCTCCCTCTGCCCCTTCCCCCACTCATGTGCTCGCTCTCTCTTGCTCTCTCTCTCTCCCAAATAAATCAATAAAATCTTTTTAAAAAAAGAATATAGGTTAGATGAGAGGGTGTTGGTTGAATGGAGGGGTGTAGGTTTGAATGAGTGGTGGCTGGATGGAGGAGTGTTGTTTGTAAGGAAGGACACTTGTAGGGTGGAGGAGCATTGGTTAGATAGAAGGGTATTGGTTGGATGGAGAAGTATTGGTTGGATAGAGGGGTCTTGGTTGGATGGAAGTGTATTGGTTGGATGGAGGGGTCTTAGTTGGATGGAAGGGTCTTGGTTGGATGGAGGGGTATTGATTAGACGGAGTGGTCTTGGTTAGATGGAACGGTGTAGGTTGGTTGGAGGGCTCTTGGTTGGGTGGAGGGCTCTTGGTTGGATGGAGGGGTCTTGGTTGGATGGAAGGGTCTTGGTTGGATGGAGGGGTCTTGTTTGGTTGGAGGGCTCTTGGTTGGATGGAGGGGTATTGATTAGATGGAGTGGTCTTTGTTAGATGGAAGGGTATTGGTTGGATGGAGGGTGTAGGTTAGATGGAGGGCTCTCGGTTGGGTGGAGGGGTCTTGGTTGGATGGAGAAGTCTTGGTTGAATGGAAGGGTCTTGGTTGGATGGGAAATGGGTGCATGAATGGAGGAGGGACCCAGCAGAAGAGGAGAGGCTTAAGCATACCTCGACGGCCTGGGTGTACTGTTCCAGCCGCTCATCAATCTTGGAGATGGGCAGCTCTGGCTGGGACTTCTTCACACTGTTACTGGAGGGTAGGAGAAGGGTCACGCCCCGTGCTCCCTCACTTGGCTTGTACACCCCACCCCAAGCCCCTACCAGAGCTCCCTCAGGCCCCTGGATCTCTGGCCCCCAGACCCCTCTCTTCAACCCTCTCTTGGGGAACCCTGAGTCCTAGTCTGGAAAAGAACAGGCACACCTCTTCTTGATGGAGCGGTTCAGGGACTCGGTTCTGTCGATGAGCTGTGGAGAGCAAGCCGAGATGTGAGCCTTCAGCCAGAGCCCACACCCCCCCCCCCGGCCATTGCCCCAGTGGCTCCCGTCCACCAATCCAGCCTTCCACGATTCATTTCTCAGGGTTGGGCTGAGTGCTGGGCTTGGGGGAATAGCAGAGAAAGAGCAGGATGTGCTCCCTATTCCTGGAGGTGACGTGTGGCTGCCTCTCTGGGGCTGTCATTTGGTCGTGATTCTGGGAAAGAGGAAAAGGCAGCAGGCTCTGGGGCTTGACCTACTTTGGTGCTGGGGCTCAGGGGAGGCGAGCCCTGTTCAGTAGCGCCCTCCAAGACCAGGGGGCTGGGTGTCCTGGGCTGCTGGCGTTCCTGGTGCCAGAAACAGAACATCGGAGGTTATATGATGAGCACCCCCTTTGCACCCCTCCTGCCCCGTCCAGGACTTGTTGGAGCAAACATTTTCCCCTCCCTGGGCCTCAGGCCCTTTCCAGCCCTGACATGCTCTGGTTCTCGAATTCTCTGCAGTTCTCACTTGATCCCAGGGTCAGCAAGCCCCTCCACCCTCCGAGAATGTGGGTGCTAGAGTCTGGGGGTGGGGGTGGGTCCCCCTTTAAGCCAGCCCAGCAAGGCTCACAGAACATGCAGTCAGCAGACACAGACCCAGCCCAGCGGTTCGAGTGTGCCCACCCCAAGGGGAGCCACCACCACCTGCTCATCTGCCTCCTCAGCTTCTGCTGGGCCCAGGCTGCCCTGCATGGTCCCCTCTGGGCTCTTGGGCTCTATCTCCTCTGTCCCAGGCCCCTCCTGGAGCTCTGAGCTGGGGCTCAGATGCAACGCCTCCAGGCAAACACTGGCTGGGCTCTGCTCATCTCCATCCCGGTTCCTGAAGGTGTGCTGGTGGGACCTGGGAAGAGGAAGGCAATCCCACAAAAGGTCGTTCAGTTGCTTGCCTCAAGTCCCTTCCTGTGTCCAAACCTCAGTTTCTCCATCTGAAAGATGGGGGCAGTCAGACCAATTGAGCGCCAAGGAATCCTGAGACCCCAGCCTCATTGAGGAGATGGGTCCAAGGACCTCAGAGCCAGCCCTCTGTCCCTGGGGCCCCTTGGAGAATGGTGCCCACTGCCAGAGTTCTGCTGTTCAGGATTCACTCTCTTGACCGGGGGCCACCTGCACTCTGAGGCCAGACCCAGTCTCCAGGCTCTCTGGACAGGCCGCAGCCCAGGTCGTGCTTGTCCGTGTCTTCCCTGCTGGCCTTGGCTCCCACTTGCTCCTGTCCTGCTCTGTGAGGGAGGCAAGGAGCCTGAGGAGGAGGGGTTTTGCATAGGAGTGGGGCAGGGTCTGTGGGTGGTTTGGGGGCTGGTCAGCTGGAGGACAAGGCGAGGGCAGAGGTCAGAGCGAAGATGGCTGCCTCCTGGCAGCCAGCATGGCTCTGCGTTTGAGCAGGACTGAACCTGGGTAAGATGGGAAATTCTCGAATTTTCCATGATTTCACGCCCCTTGGTGTTGGTGCCAGCTCAAGACCCAGACCCACCGCCCAATGTGGGTCGGTCCCAGGCAGCGGCAGGCACACAGAGGGCCCATTCAGCTGCGGCGGGTACCAGGACTCGGCAGGTGTGGGGCGGGGAGGAGGGCTGCTAGAGAGCAGGAGGGTTCGACAGAAGAGCCAAAGTGCCCCCTGCTGTTGGGACAGCGGTGGCCTGTGGCCGGCAGGAGAGAGGAGGGAGCCGGCAGGGCTAAGCCACTGGACGCCAGCGCACAGGCCAGCCTTGCTGACCCCAGACCCATTTTAGACATGCAGAGTGTGCACTGACTCCCAAAGGCAGATGGGGGAAACTGAGGCCCGGAAGGGGCACTGGTGGGCAGGGGCCGGCCAGGCGGGTGTGGGAGCTTGCTTGTAGGGTGGAGAAAGGGTGGCGGGACAATTGGGGGATCTTAGCTAGAGCTCGAGGCTCCTGAGGGGCCTCGAAGGGCCGGGAGGTGGCCCAGAGAGGGGAGAGACATGGGTCTGGTGACATTCAAGGTAACCGGGGGACCCTGCCCCCCAAGCCTGAAGCTCCTGAGCAGAGCTTGGACCCTGTCCACAGTCGGGGGCCTTGAGCATGCCTGCAGGGCGTGGGGAGCACTCAGACCCCTGAATCGGGGTGGGGGTGAGGCTCTGGGCGCAACCCCCCATCCCATCCCTGGGCCCCAGGGGCGCTTCGGCCCCCACCCCCGCCTGCCCGGTTCAGACCAGCAAACACGTCTGCACATCTGG